CATGTGATCCACCTGGATCCCCAGGTAAGGCGGTGGAAAGTGTAACTTTCCAAAGCTCATTAACATAATGAGAACCAATTAAAGCCAAATGTGTGAGTGTGAGGAGCAGGTCCTGCCTGTGTGGGAGTGAGCAGGTTGTGCTTCCTCAAGGGCGGTGCTAAGTGCAGCATCAGCCTGGAGCCTCACATATAAAGGAGCCTGCTGGTTAGCATGCTTCTTAGTTCCCTCCCCTTAGAGAGCCAAACCTGGCTCCAGGCTCAATGGAAAGTGCTGTGTGGCCTCTCCATGTGGCCAGAGCTGGGCCAGAAAAAGCCCATGATGCCTCAGGTCCAATATTGGTTCTGAAATGGAGATGAGAGTTTTACCATGAAGTTCAAAAGGAGAAGAATAATGAGGGAATGTGTGAAATTTGCACAGCAGAATCTGAAACCCAGTGGGACCAGAACAACTGATCTCTTTCTGAAACACACATGTGCAAAGATGAACAAATACAATTTACTACCATTGTTTACAATGGATAACCTCTGGACCAGCCAATAGTAGGGACTTGGTCAACTAGATGATGTCTATTCATATAATGGAACACAGTGGCCGCCACTGACCATGACAACACTGATTAACATGAAAAGTACTCAGCTCCTTAAGGGAAAGAGCAAAATGATGGAATCCTTCAATCCCATTGGTGAAGGGACAGACACCAGAGCTCAATAGTGTGATCCCCTGGCCCTTCCTCCCTGTCTTGTGTCTCCTCCCTCCCTGGCCTCCCCTGTAGGTGCTGATACTCCTGTGTCTGATTCCAGGGGAGAACTTGGAGGCTGGCGCCCCAACCGGTTTAGGGGTGGTGAAAAGGGAGCTCCCCTGGGAAGCACTGGGAAACTGTTCCTGTGAGGTGAACAGCCACTGGACCACCTGTACCAACCTCGGCTCATAAAGGAGGGGCTCAGATTCCGGAAGGAGATGGAGGACAGTATTCTGAGCAGGAACCGTAAACTCTTTGTCACCAATCTGAGATATGGCAAGGCCCATTTCCAGCAGGTAAGGCCTTCTCTGGGGGCTCCCTCTGTCTTCTGGGTGTCTGCTTGGGGAGGAGGTGACAGGGCTTTGCATCCAAAAGAAAAAACTATCCCGAATGATACAAAATTATGCTATCTGTGTCCTGCTGGCTGGGCGTTAGGATGTCTGAGAAGAAATCTTGGGTCAGTTTCTGATCCACTCAGGGTCTTTGAACAGGTCACTTCCTCTCTGGCCTCAGTTTCTCCATGTGCAGAAGGTGGGGATGTTGAAGGATCTCTGGGGCTCTGGCCACCTCTATCTCTTTAGGATTCTTCTCCTCTAAGTTCCGCCCTAAAGGCAGCTCCTGATGCCCTGTGTGCTGTCAGGGAAAGTCTGGGCCAAACCTGGGCCATGACAGGTGTCCTAAGGCCCCAGAGAGCCCTCACGCAAGAGATGCTCAAGGGCTGTAGCCTAATTAAGAGCTCAAGAACATGTTATGTAAGATTTTCAATTTCTGTAACCTATCCCCTTTGCCTGTTCTAGAGTTTTTTGTCTCAAAACACAGCTAGAAAGAGGGCGAAGCAGGATCCAGAAACCAGTAGTCCCTGCTCTTTCTGCTGAACCACAGCACCTCCAGGGCTCACAGCCCCTGTGACTGGGTGATGGGCAGCCTGGATGGAGGAGAATGAGGGGAGGAGGAGCAGGTTTGGAGGGAAATTAAGGATTTGATGCTCATGAGAGGTTGAGCAGCAGTTGAGTAGCATTTCGACATGTGAGTTTAGAGTTTCAGGCTGAGATGGGGGTGGAGATCGAAGTTTGCAGGCTGCACAGTGATCCCTGAGGCCCTGGTTTCCCATCGTCCCCCTCAGCTCTGCCACCACCTACCTCTCTCTGCAGAGCTGGAGCCCAAGTAGAGCCCCGACCACAGAGCCATTCCCACTTTCACCCCCAGAGCTCTGGCCCCAGGAACCCAGGCAGGAAGCCCCCTCCCCTTCCTACCCCCGTCAGGACCAAGTGGCACACCATGGAGGCTCACACTGGATATGTAATGGTAGGGACAGAAGTCTAGGGGCTGGTCAGGAAAACGTGGGGTCACATAAGCATAACTGGGCCGCCCTTAGCCAAGTCATGGGCAGGAGATGAAGGAGGAAGTGAATTCAGGAGAAACTTCCAGGATCACCATTGGTGTTGAATATTGGCATGGAATGGGACAAAGATAAGCTGACCCCTGGTCTCAGAATGAGCTGCCTCGGGTGAGGGAGGCAGAAGGTTTGTCATTTCCTGAGGTCAGGCACGGAGAGGAAGAAAACTGACAAATTATCAGACATGAACCTGGTGTGCTGGGCGGGGACACTGAGGAGCAGGTGGGAGTGTGCAAAGGGAAGGAGGAAAGAAGACCAGGAAGGGTCTGGGCACAGAATAACCCGAGCAGCCACTGCCAGCTGAGTGTCCCTGGACGAGTCCCTCTACTTCTCTGATCCCCAGTTTCCCAGGCTGAGCAAGGAGTCTGCTTCCTCCTCCTGAGCTTGGGAGAGTGAGTTAGGGGGGAAATGTGCCGGCAGAGCCTGCTGAGTGACTGTATCAGGCCCAGCCTTGCATCTGTCCCTGATGAAACAGGCGGCCACTCTAGGAGCATGCTGCAACCTCAGGTCCGTCATGAGTCTGTCCCCTGGGCCTCAGGTCAGCGTCTCCGACAGGATGCACATCCCATGTCTGACGTGGCCTGGGTGGGGCCTGGTCACCCAGCCTCAGGAAGTGGTTGATACACCGCTGCTGTGTCAACACCCTCCACGTGCACAATACACCTGCATGTGCGTGTCTGCATCCAAGTGTGTGTGTAGGCAACATGCACAGAAAACAGGGCATGCCAGGCGCCCACTTCACCACAGGGCACCTCTAGGAGCTAGAGCAGGCTAAGGAGCCCAGGGGACCAAGAGACTCTCCTGCTCTCCCTCCTTCCACCCTGACACACACACTTGTCAGGTGATGAACATAACCATGGGGTCCACAGGACTACCTGCAGCTCCCAGCCAGGGCCTCTGCAGCTCCCTGAACTCTGCCTCACCTTCCTGGCTGTTCTCTTGCAGCTCTGTGAAAAGCCCAAGCCTGGAGACCTGATTGAGATTTCCCGCGTCGGCTACTCCCACTGGGCCCTCTATATGGGAGATGATTACGTGATCCACCTGGCTCCCCCAGGTAAAGGGGTTGAAAGTCTAACTCACCAAAAATTTATTAACATGAGAATAATTCAAAGCCAAATGCCACCCTGGAACCCTGCGTGGTTTCTCCCTGAGCTGGGACTGAGGTCACCCTACATTGTGTCCCTTGGAGGCATCTCAGTGGTCCCACAGACCCTGACTCAGCAGGGAAAGAGGTCTGTGGGCCCAGGTGAAGCCGGGCCGGGGCCGCATTTGGAGCTCTGCAGCTCGGGCCCTTTACCTGTGCGTGGAGACAGAGTTCACTAAACCAGCCACATGCCTAGGTGTCCTCAGTCTCTTAAAGAAGAAAAATCAATGGCGGTGGATTGGTCAACTGGATTCATAATAGCAGCCACTGAGCATCACAGTATTCATGAGCTTGAGAAAGTATACACAGCTCATTAAGTAAAAGAGGAAAATCTGTGAATCCTCCAATCACACTAGTGAAGGGACAGACACCAGAGCTCAATAGTGTTATCCCCAGGCCCCTCCTCTCTGTCTTGTGTCTTCTCTCTCCCTCCCTGGCCTCCCTGCAGTTGCTGATACTCGTGTGTCTGATTACAGGGGCTGACTCCCACACGGATATAGGGGTGGTGAAAATGGAGCTCCTCATGATTGTGGTAGGAAACTGCTCCTATAAGGTGAACAACCATTTGGACCACCTGTACAAACCTCGACTTATACAGGACATGCTCAGGTCTGCATTGCAGCTGGTTGATCAGAAGATGGAGTACAGTGATCTGAGAAGGAACAGTGAGCACTTTGTTACCGATCTGAGATATGGCAAGGCCAGCAGCCGGCAGGTAAGGCCCTCTCTGGGGGGCTCCCTCTCTCTCTGGAGTCTACTTGGGTTGGTGGATGGTAATAGGACTGTGCATCCAGAAGAAAACCGTGCCCCTAATCATGCAAAATTATGCTCCCTGCTTCCTGCTGGCTGAGAGTTAGGGTGTGTGAGAAAAATCTTGGGACAATTCCTGATCCACTCAGGGTCTTTGAACAGGTCACTTCCTCTCTGGCCTCAGTTTCCCCATGTGCAGAAGGAGAGGATGTTTGGAGGACCTCTGGGGCTCTGGCCACCTTAACCCCTTTAGGATTCTATGCCTCTAAGACCCACCCTAAACGCAGCTCCTGATACCATTGCCAGGAAAATCTGGGATAAACCTGCACCATGACAGGTTTTCTGAGGCCCCAGAGAGCCCTCAGGAAAGAGATGCTCAGGTCTGTGGCCTATGGGAGAGCTCAAGAACATGGTATGTAAGGTCTGGGCACAGTCTCACCAATCTCCTCTTTCTCTCTTACCAACACACAGTGAGTTAAGAGGCAGTAGCAGGATGAAGTCCCCAGCGGTCCCTGCTCTTTCTGCTGAACCACAGCACCTCCAGGGCTCACAGCCCCTGTGACTGGGTGATGGTCAACCTAGATGGAGGAGAATGAGGGGAGGAGAAGCAGGTTTGGAGGGAAATTAAGGATTTGATGCTCATGGGGGATGTTGAGGTGAATAGTTAGACATCCAGGTGGAGCTGTGGAGTAGCAGTTGGACTTGTGAGTGAAGTTCAGGGCTGAGGTGGGGGTGGAGATAGAAGTTTCCAGTTCACTTGGGAACAGTACACAGAGCACAGTGGTCCCTGTGGCCATGGTTTCCTATCACCCCCCTCAGCTCTGCCACCACCTCCCTCTGCAGAGCTGGAGCCCAGGTAGAGCCACGACCACAGAGCCATTCCCACACTCACCCCCAGAGCTCTGGCCCCAAGAGCTCAGGCAGGAAGTCCCCTTTCCTACTCACCCCCATCAGGACCGAGTGGCCCCATCATGGAGGCTCCCCCAGGCCCTGGTGTGGGTGGAGCAGAAGTGAGGGGATTGGACAGGAAAGTCTGGGGTCACATAATCGGGAACAGAATGACTCTGAATGAAGTCATGGAGGAAAGATGGTCAAAGAAGTGGATTCCAGAAAAGCTTCCAGGCTAAGTGACTATTGTAGGATATGGGCATGGAATGAGAACAAAGGGAAGCTGGCCCCTGGTCTCAGATTGGGCTCCTGGGGTGAGTGCTGCAGGAGGTTTGCTGCAGTCACCCACAGAAGGAAAAACTGAAAATTCTGGAATCAGGAAGCTGCGGTGCCCTGGGCAGGGACACTGAGGACAGGGATGAGGTGAGCAAGGCAGGGAGGGAAGGTGACCAGGAAGGGATAGGGCAGAGAAGACCCAGAGCAGCCCCTGCCAGCTGAGTGGTCCTGGGAAAGTCCCTCTGCCTCTCTGACCCTCAGTTTCCCCAGCTGAGCACGTGGGTGCTGCTTCCTCCCCCTGGGCTTGGGAGTGTGGCAACTATGGGGGAAATGTGCGGGCAGAGCCTGCTGTGTGACTGTGAGCCCTGTCCCCAGGGCAGGAAGCTGGGAAACAGCAATAGGGCCTTCTCCAATGCTCAGGGGCCCTTAGGAAGCTGTCACCTGCTGTCTGTCAGTTTAGCATCTTCAAGGGCTCCTGTACCAGGGCTGGGGAGGGCAGAGTGTGAGGGGATGGTGTTGTGGCCATGCACAGCCAGGGCAAACACATGATGGAGACAGGAGGGTCAGTGTGTGAGAGCAGAGCAGCTCAGACTCACCTGGACAATGTTGTGGGGGACGGGCCTGGGCCCCAGCCTCAGGGAAGGGGTTTACTAACAGGCTGCTCTGTTATCATCACCCAGACACATACACAATACATTTGCATAGCCATGTCTGTATCCTAGTTTGTGTATATGTGCATGGAAAACACAGCATATCCATGCAGAATACACACAGACACGGATGCATTACACACATATTATGGACAAATCTTCACTGTCCCAATTCCAAGGTCATTTTTCCAAGCTTCAGTTACAGGGAAACAGCTGCAGGCTATTGCACGCTGAGGACCTCACAGGGTTCAAGAATTCTCTCCCCCTTCCAGCCTTATACATTCTACCCATGAGGTGAGCATTGGTAAGCAAATCCCCAGGTTGAGCGCAGCTCCCTGCTGGGCCTCTGCAGCTCCCTGAACTCTGTCTCACCTTCCTGGTTGTTTTCTTGCAGTTTCTTAAAGATACCAAGCCTGGGGACCTGATTGAGATTTCCCGCATCGACTCCTCCCACTGGGCCCTCTATGTGGGCGATGGTTATGTGATCCACCTGGCTCCCCTAGGTAAGGGGGTTGAAAGTGCAACTTTCCAGAGATTTGTTACCATGATCAGAAAGATTCAAAGTCACATGCCACCCTGGGAACCAGTGTTGGTTCTCCCTGGGCAGTACTTGTGCTCCGTGTTCCTTGGAGGCATCTCAGTGGTCCCTCGGGTCCTGACTCAACAGGGAACGAGGTCTTTGGGCCCCAGGGAAGCTGGACTGCACCTGCATTGGACACTCTATTTCTTGGGCACTGTAGCTTGGCGAGCAGACAGATTTCTCTAAACCAGCATTGTCTCTGGGTGTCCCAGTCTCATAAAGGACAAGGATCAAATATGGTGGATTGGTCAACTGGATGATGCCCATTCATATCATGGAGCAAAATAGCAGCTATTGACCATCACAGTATTCCTGAGCTTGAGAAAGTAGTCAGCTCATTAAGTAAAAGAGTAAAATCGTGAATCCTCTAATCACATTGGTGAAGAGACAGACACCAGAGCTCAATAGTGTGATTCTCTGGCCCTTCCTCCCTATCTTGTGTCTTCTCTCTCCCTCCCTGGCCTCCCTGCAGTTCCTGATACTCGTGTGTCTGATTCCAGGAGAAATCTTAGGGGTTGGCACCCCCACCGGTTTAGGGGTGGTGAAAAGGCAGCTCCTCAAGGAAGTGTTGGAAAACTGCTCCTATGAAGTCAACAACCACTTGGATCACCTGTACAAACCTCGGCCCATAAAGAACATGCTCAGATCTGCGGAGAAGATGGTTGGTGAGGAGATGGAGTACAGTGATCTGAGTAGGAACAGTGAGAAATTTGTCACTGATCTGAGATATGGCTCCCTGAGGAGCTGGCAGGTAAGGCCCTCTCTGGGGGGCTCCCTCTACTTTCTAGAGGTCTGCTTGGGTTGGGGGTGCATCCTGATAAGAAGCCTGTGCATCTAGAAAAATAATTTTATCAGAAATGATGCAAAACGCCTGCTGGCTGGGTGTTAGGATGTCTGAGAAGAAATCTCAGGTCAGTTCCTGATTCACTCAGGATCTTTAATCAGGTCACTTCCTCTCTGGCCTCAGTTTCCCATGTGCAGAAGAAGGAGTTGTTGGAGGACCTTGGGGCTCTGGTGACTTCTATCCCCTTAGGATCCTTTGCCTCTAAGACCCACCCTAAAGGCAGCTCCTGATGCCCTGTGTGCTGTCAGGGAAAGTGTGGCCAACCCTGCACCATGACAGGTGTCCTAAGGCCCCAGAGAGCCCTCAGGCAAGAGATGCTCACGTCTGTGGCCTATGTGAGAGCTCAAGAACATGTTATGTAAGGTCTGGGCACAGTCTTACCCCTCTCCTCTTTCCCTCTTACCTACACACAGCGAGTTAAGAGGCAGAAGCAGGATTCAATCCCCAGTGGTCCCTGCTCTTTCTGTGAACCACAGCACCTCCAGGGCTCACAGCCCCTGTGACTGGGTGATGGGCAGCCAGGACTGAGTAGATGGGAAAAGGAGGAACAGATTTGGAGGGAAATTAAGGATTTGATGCTCAGGTGCAGTTGTTTAGAGGTGACCATTAGACATCTAGGTGGAGCTGTGGAGTAGCAGTTGGATGTGTGAGTCGAGTTCAGGGCTGAGGTTGGGGTGGAGATAGTTTCCAGGCTGCACTTGGGAACAGTACACAGAGCACAGTGATCCCTGAGGCCATGGTTTCCCATCATCCCCCTCAGCTCTGCCACCACCTTCCTCTGCAGAGCTGGAGCCCAGGTAGAGCCCAGACCACAGAGCCATTCCCACTTTCACCCCCAGAGCTCTGGCTCCAGGAGCCCAGGCATGAAGCCCCTCCCCTATCCTCCTCTGTCAGTACCAAATGGCCCCACCATGGAGGTTCATACAGGCTCTGGAGTGGGTGACACAGAAGTCTGGGGGTTGGTCAGGAAAGCTGGCCCCTGGTATCAGATTGGACTCCTGGGACAGCACTGCAGGTTTTCTGAGGTCAGAGACAAACAGGAAGTTAAATTGAAAATTTTCAAATCAGGAAGCTGTTGTGCCCCCGACAGGGAAACTGAGGAGCAGGGAGGAAGGTCATAAGGCAGGGAGGGAAGGGGACCAGGAAGGGACTGGGCAGTGATGACCCAGAGCAGTCACTGCCAGCTGAGTGGTCCTGGGCAAGTTCCTCTGCCTCTCTGATCCTCAGATTCCCCAGCTGAGCATGTGGGTGCTGCTCCCTTCCCCTGGGCCTGGGAGGGTGGCAGTTTTGGGGGAAATGTGCCGGGAGAGCCTGCTGTGTGACTGTGAGGCCTGTCCCCGGGGCAGGAAGCTGGACAACAGCAGTAGGGCCTTCTCCAATGCTCAGGGGCCCTTGGGATGCTGTCATCTGCTGTCTGTCAGTTCAGCATCTTCAAGGGCCCGTGTGCCAGGGTGGGGGAGGGTAAAGTGTGAGGTGGTGGGTGTTGGGGCCATGTACAGCCAGGGCAAACATGATGGAGACATGAGGGTCAGTGTGTGAGAACAGAGAAGCTCAGACTCACCTGGACAATGTTGTGGGGGATGGCCTGGTCCCCATTCTAAGGGAAGGGAGAGTACATACAAGTTGTTGTCTTCACCCCACAAGACAGTACACAGTATACCTTCATATGTGAGTCTGTATTCTAGTATGTGTGTATGTAAAGGAAACACATCATATCCATTCGCAACTCACACAGACAAACGTGTTACACACACATTCTGGACAAATCTTAACTCTCCCAATGCACAAGTACATTTTTCCAGGCTTCCAGTTATTACTAAGGCAACTTCTAGAAATTACAGCAGGCTGAGGATCTCACAAGAGGGCAAGAGTTTTCCAAAACCCCTTTAACTCCCCTCCACACACACACACATACACTCTTCCCATGGGGTGAGCATCAGTAAGCAAATCACCAGGAGAAACACAGCTCCCAGCCAGGGCCTCTGCAGCTCCCTGCACTCTGCCTCACCTTCCTGGCTGTTCTCTTGCAGTTTCGTGAAGAACCCGAGCCTGGAGACCTGATTGAGATTTCCCGCATCGGCTCCTCGCACTGGGCCCTCTATGTGGGCGATGATTATGTGATCCACCTGGCTCCCCCAGGTAAGGGGGTGGAAAGTGTAACTTTGCAAAGTTTTGTTAACATGATGAGAACAATTCAAAGCCAAATGCCACCTTGGAACCCGAGTTGGCTTCTCCCTGAGCTGTGCTTGTGCACATGGTACATCTGTGTCCCTTCGGGGCATCTCAGTGGTTTCTTGGGTCCTGACTCAGCAGGGACTGAGGTCTGTGGGCCCCAGGGAAGCCAAGTTCTAACCACATTGGTTGCTCTCCAGCTCAGGCCCATTAGCTGGGAGAGCAGACACATTTCTCTAAATGAGCAGCGTGTCTTGGTGTTTCAGTCTCATGGAGGGACTGCCTCTCAGGCTGTGTTTTGTGCTCAGAGGACGTCACAGAAGAGGGTGTCCTGAGAGGGTTTCCTGAACACCCCCCATGCAGCAGCTCTCCCAGGTCACACGTCACAAAGAGTCTCACACACACGAGCACCTGGACCCTGATGTAGTGCAGGGAGAGCAGAAGCAGGATGACAGGCAGTCAGAGGAGAAGGCAGCACTGTCCCTGACAGGAAGGTGCTGGGATGAGACCGTGGACTGGGAAACACAGGGGATGGTGCCCTGCAGAGCAATGGCACCCACACCTCGGACAGCAAGCATTTGCG